CTCAGAGAACTGAACAGATTGACTATCATATAAATCTAAAGTGTTACACTAGAATTTGAACAAGTATCTTCCCACAGTGCAACCATCACTTTTTTGTTACACAGAAGCTGCCTTTTGTCTCCTATTTCCAACCATAGGGAGTTTGGGGTATTTTTTACTAGTTTGTATTATTTTATTTAGTTTAAAAGTAGAATAAAATAATCTCTGTATAACTAGTTCTGTCATATTTAGCTTCATGTGATAAAGAACAGATAAGGACTATCACATTAGGCATGATGGAAAATATTTTATGCAATCCATGACTCAATAAATAAAATACACACTGGCCAGTTAATAGATTGAGAGGAAAAGAATGAATCACTTTCATTGCTTTTGGGTACATTTATTCTACACTGAGGTGATGAAGTGAAGAGAAAACAATTTGAAATAATATTCCTGATTTGTCATTCAGGAAAAGGTTTTTAACTGTGCTGTGCAACATACACTAATGAGCCAAGGAGCTTAGCCAAGGAGCTTCCAGTTCTTCCAAAAGAAATTGATCAGTCACCTATCTAGCAAGATTTTTTTATATATATAAAATAAAAAGAACATTTCAAATCTTGATCTGTCTGGTTAAAGTCACCTGATCAGTGACCATAAAACCTGATCTACACTTAGAGTGGCTAGGTTTTACGTTAAAGCAATAATTCAAGCCACAGAAACCCTGAAGAGTGTCTCACTGGGGTCCCCAGGCTTAGCAAGGGAAATAATTTGCAAAGGTCACATAACAAAAAGTGACAGAACTGGATTTGAAAGTAAGTAATTGGATACCGACCTGCGTATGCTGCTCTTCTATGCCCTAATTACAAAGACAGTGCCTAATACACAGAGGATGATCAATAAATATAATTTTTTGTTCAATGCCTCTTAAGTGGGTTAATAACCTCCAAGTGAGTCACTTAGAAATTACTTTGTGTGAGAATCCTTTTCTATTTTATAACCAATTGACAACTCAGAAAATAAAGCACAGAAGCTAAACTATAATTTTAACTTCAATTTTATGCCTTTAAAAGGACAGTAGCGCAGAGCATACCCATGAAGTCATGATAGTATAATCCTTGACACTCTTGCACAGGTATGCAGCATGTGGAACTCATATTCCTCTAAAATAAATCACAGAAGAGAAGGTCAAAGGCATAGAACAAAAGAGGAACACGGAGTTTCATTTGGAGATTGTTCAGGCAGGCTACTTTATGTTGGAGCAACCAACATCCATGTCATCTGCTCACACTGTGTCCAGTGCAGATTGTGGGGATGGACTCTTCCCCCTCACTGGCACTCAGGGGCTCAGACAGATGGAGGCTCTGCCTTCTTGTGGCTGCAGTTTTCCCATCATGCCACCAGAGGAAGAAGGAAATAAAGGCAATTTTTATCCTTCCCTATGTCCTTGTTTCAACTTGGAATTCACACTCATCTTTTCTACTTATAGCCCTTTGGCCCAAATTGGTCACATGACTCTGCAACTGTGAAGCACAGAAAAATGTGGGAAGTGCCTGACATTCAGAGAGGCATTCAAACAGACCTGTACCATGTCCCCTTGATGGGGAGGATTATTTATCCAGGAGACCTTCTCAGTGGGTGCAGGTTGGGGAGGGGAGTTTGTGTTTAGATTCTTTGAGGTCTGCTTGGTTTAGATGTCCAGGCAGCAGACTTAATTGCAAATAATACACAACAGTACCACTGGTGGATTCGCAAAATGCCTACCGTAATGATGCTGGGTCTGTCATAACTTCACTCCAGGACACAGGAGTTCTAAGGCAAAAGATGTTCAAGAATGGACCATGAATATGAGTCACTGACCCTAGCACAGTGTCTGGAAGACACTGAGGTGTTCTTTTAGGGGTGATATTTCTGTGGGTTTTGAGGTTCATTCCCAGGTCTCGCTCAGTATCCAATGCATTGTATGGATCCAATTCATCTAACCCAATGGCCAGCATTATGCTCAGTAGCAAGAATGCCCCCAGCACCTGGAATACACAGCCCTGGGAACACAGGGTTGAGATGTGATTGTGCCTTTTCACAATTACTTACAGAGCACCACTTAAGGAATGTGTTTCCTTTTCCTGAGAGTCTAGGTAGGCTTTGCTAGATGAGAGCCTACCTAAAGCCTTTGGTTTCCAGGCAGGGAAAGAATGCTTCTACCAAGTGACAGAGTAAGATTTCTATTGAAACTGATGCTACAACTATCCCTTGGGAACATTTTTGGACACCTCATAATGCTAGACCAGGAGAACTACCAGTTTGGCAGTTCTCAACAGAAGATTGCTTCTACAGGAGGGAAAGAGAGAATGGTCATCTGAGACCCAGATGATTCACATGGCACTTCTTGTGGCCTTCACACAGGTGAATCGTGATCACAGTTTGACAAAAGCAAAGCTTTTGTGTCTATGGGCACAAATCCCTCAGAGATCAGATCTGGTTCATTTCACCAGGCAAGCAGCCTGGATCAGTTTAACTGTTGTGTTAAGGGGAGAGAAATCTAGAACATGTGGTGGAGTGAGATGAATAGTCATTAAGCTTCATATCCAATTGCAATAATAGGAGCTGTAGCTTCTTAAATTAATCCCTATGTCTGAGGTGTTTAGTAGAGATTGTGGCCGGCCACCACCACTTTGAAAGCTAGGTGATGGATTTAGTTTATTGTGGAGCATAAGCAGGTCTGAATGGTGCGAGGGAGGAGAATATCAGACGTTCTGGTGCCTTCCCCCACTTCACATCCCCTCAGGCCAACTTGGATTTTAGGTGCAGTGAACTGTTCTGTGTAAGCTCAGACTCTTTAGTGTTTCTCCTTAGCACTTAGAAAACTAGCTAGGTCCCACCACACAAGTGCTGCTGAGAAGTGCAGGGGTGTCAGCATTATCAGTGGAGAGCAAAGCCACTTGATAATTATTGCTACCTCTTGCCCTTCAGGGTGATAATACTGGGAGGGAGGTGCATGTGTTTCTCAGGTGGTCTATAAAATTCAGCTCCCAAGGCTACAACACCTACCTTGGTAATTAACCCTAACATTGGCAGAGTCTTCTTCCTGGCTTACTTCTGCTGCCTGAGGGCACCTCTCAAATAAACTATCTGCATTGCACACAGTTCCTTGTCTCAGGCTCTGCTTTCCAGATAACCTATGTTAACACATATAAATACAGAGTTTTATGTTATAGATATATATAAATGAATATAAATATACATATAAAATCCCAGGCTAGGGAGAAAAATAAGAGAAATAAGTCTATTTCTCTTGCCATTCATTATTTCAAAGGTCAGCTGTATCTACATTCTTTTTCAAGTGCATAAACTTGTCAGCTAACATTCATCTTTACTAAACGAGAAAAGAGAGACAAACACTAGCCTTGACTGGCTGTGAATTTAGCTGACGAGGATATTATACGTTTCTTTGTGGGCTTCCGCTGCATGGAAGAACCTGTTCTCCCTGAGAACACACTTGCCATACTTGCAGAGCCTGCCAGGGAGTGATATGAGATTTCAAGTCCACTATGGGCTTCTAAACTGCTTTCTTCAGCCCCTTCTGTCTCCAGAACCGAAACACTGCTAAACTAGGCTACGAACTGCTAGCTAAACTTGCAAACCACTGTGTTAGATGTCCTAATGCACTCCACAGTACTTAATTTTCTCCTAGAGAGTCATCTGCACTTTGATAGGAAAAAGATGACTAAGCAATCATTATCAGCCCCATGGGATAATTCTAGCACAGGGGAACAAATAATCCAGAGGACAGTGTGTACTACAAAGCTAACTTACTGTGACATAAAAGAAGGAAGCAGAATTTTATTGATGATTGGAGGACAAGTTATGACATCACTGATGACTATTTTTAGAATCACGTGTTTCCTCTACAATGATAAGATTTTTTGTCTGGATTTCACAGCAAAGATTTCAGGCATAAGTCTTACATAATAGATTCAGATGTTACCTGCCTTGACACATCATCTTATTTGTGTTTCTATACATTAGCAAACTTACTTTCTCTTAAACTATACACTTATAAATACCCTGAACAGAAGAATATTTTAACTTTAATTAAAACACAAATCAATCAGTTACATTTATTGAATATATTTTATAGGGAAGGTGCTGTCCTAGGGCAGTTGAGTACATAAAAGAGTATAAGACATGATCCTTGTCTTCAAAGGTCTTAAAAAACTATCATACTTTTGGCATTAGATATGTTTATGATAAATATTAAATGAGCTTACAAATTCCAGTTGCTAGTTAAAAACCATACTAAGAAAATTCATAATTTTTTCATCAATAATTACTTCAATTTTTTTTGAAGTCTAAGCTTTTTAGTCTTTTTTAAAACAGAAATTTAAGTATATTGCCTTTTCACTAAGATTTTCATTAAACAACACTATTTCTATGTAAAGTTTTTTTTTTTTTAAGATTTATTTATTTGTGCATACAGAACTGGGGTACAGACACCAGAGGCTTAGGGGCGGTGAGAGGCTTCACCAGAGACAGAGTGGGGAACAGAACAGGCAGATGGATGAAGTACACTGCTGAGGGGAGCAGCGGGCGGGCCAGGAGAGGTCTGCCACACCATGTGGTCACCTCCGGGGCAGGCGGGAATCGAACTCATGTGGAGGCGGCTTTAGATTCTCAGTGCTGTGCTTCAACCCGCTGCGCCAACAGGGAGGGCCTTCTATGTAAAGTTTTAATATAGTAATGCATGAAACCAGATTCCAATTTCTCAAGAAATATCTCTTTTTTTTTCTGAGTTAGTTAGCATCCATAAACCATGTCTTTGGGGTCTTTTTTTTTTTTTTTTAAAGATTTATTTATTTATGCTTACAGAACTGGGTTATAGGACAGAGGTGTGGTGGGTGACAGGATTCACCAGAGACATAGTGGGGAGCAGAATAGGCAGATGGACAAAGTACACTGCTGAGGGAAGCAGCAGGCAGATCAGGAGAGGTCTGCCATGCCATATGGGTCAGCTCCCTGGCTGGTGATCGAATTCGTGCTACAGGGGCTTTGGAGAGCTTCATAATGCGGTGCTTTAACCCACTGCACCACCAGGCAGAGACCATCTTTGGGTCTTTATGTCACTGAAAGTGATGTTGGATTGTTGTTCTACTCTTGAGATACCAAATACATATGTACCATCTGGACATTTTCTTGAACTAAATCTTAAAACAAAGTTAAGCAACATATTCAGGGGAGCTCACTCTGGTTGAGGTGTTGAGTGGTGGGTGCCCAACTAGCAGATGGAGAGCACTTGGTTCTCCAGAAGCCATGGCCCTCATAGGCCCTGTAGACATCATTTTCTCTTTTTAAATTCAATCCGGCATGTTCCTTCTGGCTGCTGTACTCCCACCAAGTGGAGAGAACTCTAGATAGATTCAGAGAAAAAAGTCAACAGTTTCAACTTAAGGTGTATTCAATTGCAATCTCTTCTCAAAGGCACTGAGTTTGGTTTGAAATATTAGAAACTTTTGTTTGATGAGGTTCATAATGTCAAATTCTGGACTTCAAGGGACAGAAAAGGAAGCCACCCTTATTCTAACTGCAACCTCTTCACAATTTTGCACATCCCAAGGCCATCATCATCCACCCTTCAATTTATTGGGCTAAAGAGGATAGCACAAATTGAGTTCCTTCTACATTTCTGCCTCAAAGCCTCACTGGGTGAGGCTTCTATGCTTTAGGTTAGAGATACTTACAAACCAACATGGCACTGGTAATATAAACTATTACTATTTCAGGGTACCTAAGACCACAATTTCTATTTCAGGGTACCTAAGACCAAATGAATATTTTGTGACTTTCAAATGTTCTGATATAAAGAAAGGGTGAAGGAGTGTGTAGGTGAGGGAAGGTTAGTTTATTGCAAAGAACACACAGAGGTTGTTGAGGCTTAGGGGTGTGAAAAGAAAAGCAACTTCTTTTGTCAACCTTGAGGGCTAGAGATGACTAAAGAGGGGGTCTGTCCAAATTAGACCACCAATCTATTGTCAGGCTGGTGATGCAAGGCCATAGAGTGAGTTCCCTAGGAAGGAGATTTTTAGAGAAATGACTAGAAAGAACTGCAGGGTTTTCATGGACTCTGAAATTGCACCTATACTTTTTTTGGGTATGAAAAGAAAGCATCACTTTTTAAGAAGTGATCCACAGATTTTATGAAATTTTCTAAGGATCCATGATTTCCTCCAAAATAAAACAAAAATAATCCAACCAACTAAATAAACAAAATCTCACGGTGCTAGCAAAAGTGAGGTTACTTTTGCAAGAGCATTAAAGTGGGTCTGTTTATGAACACACTAACTGGAACTGCTCCTGTATAAGATCTGGATGCACCTGCTCAGTCACACATTTTGGAAAACTTTGTAGCATTTACTTACTGTTTGGTTCTTTACAGGAGAAAACTGAAATTAAATTAATTCCTTAAAAATTCCTTTTGAAGGAACTCTCCTGCACTGCTGGTGGGAATGCAAACTAGTACAACCACTATGGAAAACTGTTTGGAGGTTCCTCAAACTGCTAAACATGG